TCGTAGTGAGACATTGTGTGTGTATGGAGAGGGGATATACACATATATACACGCATGCTGACAAAAGCACACGAAAATGGAAATAGATCTAAGAACACACAGGGGTCATTAAAAGATAGTCATGCCGATAACTACTCCATCATTTTTCGAACTAATCGTAATTGATTTATAACTTTTCACGCAGAACTTTTCCCTGCCAGTTCAAGAAAGACGTTTAGATCACTAACACAAAAAAAGAAAATGTCTCAATTCGAGAATATTATCATCGAAAAACATAAAGAAAAAATGAATTATTTTTAATAATATGTGGAAATCTCCACCCTTTGCCTGATGACGGTTGCGACACTGGAAACACGTGTAGCAAAATTATGGAAAATAAAACATAATATATATATATTGTTTTTTTAAATCCACATTACAACCAAAAACATTTGCGGCTTCTCTCTTCTTTTGAATATACACACTTTTCTCTCGTTGGAACGACTATAACCTCTTCCTTTTATATATATATATATATATATATATATATATATATATATATATATATATATATATATGAGCATAGGTTTCAAAAAGAAGGTGCTGTATGGACAACTACCAAACTTTTACGCGACAAAAAACAAATTGAAAGACAACTTGAAACGTCTGAACTTTGATCTGAAAATCTGGGGAAGCCCAGTCACCAAACCGAAAGGACTTACATAAAACATGTTTCATTAAGTTTTGAAGACAGTAGACTGGTGCACCGTGATCAGCTTTGTCTAGCTCTGAAGCAGAGATGCCATCAAAATCCTGCTTTAACAAATTTCATCTGTTAGTATGGCTTTGTTGCCCGCAACAAGGCTGGGATAGTATCGCACTTAAGAAAGCACAAATGAAATATGTCTTTCCCTTACCTGATTTTCTCCACAATAGCTTCTAATAGTATGCATAAGTGTAAAACAAAATGCACCATCCAATGCTGACCCACATTTATCGTTCACGATGTAAGAGTCCACCATATATATATATATATATATATATATATATATATATATATATATATATATATGTGTGTGTGTGTGTGTGTGTGTGAAGAAATATAGTTTTAACGTATGCTATATTTATGGGATAATGTGCTCAATATCAGGGACAGAGTGTATGTAAATATAAATATAAAAGTGAACATTGAAATCAACAAACAGAGGCGACAGGCTGTTTGTGTTTATATACATATTTATATGAACAAATTTGGATAAGAATTCGATGGAATTGTATATATATATATAAAACAAATTATAAACTGATTTTGCTTTGACATGTTTTACCGATTATGGCGCGTCATCCGTAAGAGGATTTTATATCACATGAAAAAATCTGCACATGCGATATGAAACGTGACTCAAGTTGATCATCTGAACGTTTGATTTTTCTTTAACTGTAATGAAATTTTTCGAATTCATATATTCTTGTTACAGGCTTAGATTTTAACTAATTTCAGCTGTTTTATCTATTTATTAATTTCATTATTTTCTTTTCTTCGCTTCCATATCCATATATTGTTTCAGTACTAATTTAGTAAAAACATTGGATAAACTGAAATAGCTCGCGTGTATAATAACTATCAGGGATTCAAATATCATGAAATTTTCACTGCATCGTCGTCTGAGTAAATTATATTATTGTTTTGTTTTTTAAATAAAGACGGCGTCTTCCTAATCTAACTCGTCATCACGAAGTTTTCGGCGGCTAACATAGAGTGTGTTGCTTAATCTTATATCTGCTTTATGCTCACATATATACTGCTCTATTCCTATTACTCTATCACAACTACAATAGAAAATGCTTGGAGGAACTGCCATGTCACATACATAGTACCAAACCACCCACATTCCATCCGTATTACATCGGCCAGAAGTAAGTTCCAATCAAACAGATTCTTTCCACGAACTACCGCCCCATAGGATAGACTCCCAAGAGGATAGTTCCCCCGATCACTACAATCTTAACGTGTTTAAGTCTTGAGTAAACATTATCTTCATCTCCTATCCATCTATGTTTCCCTCTCATTTCTGAATCTTTTTTCTTTCTTTTTTTCTATCTTCTAACGCTTTTTCGTTTTCTTTTTTTCCTTCTTTCTCTTTTTTCTTTTTATCTTTCTTTCTTTTTTTCCCTTGTTTTTTTTTTTTTTTTGCTCTTTTCTATCCATTCACGTAACACCCTATCTTGAGTCTCTTCCCGGGCCTTGTACAGGGCGAACTTTAATGTAAAAGAAATTTAAAAAAAAATTGTTTTCTTTAAACGCCTGGTTTTTTTTCAACAATATGACAGGTAGGGGGCATAATTCATATTCTGTTTTGTAAAAAAAAAAAAAGAATCAACTGACCAGATTCTTAACATAAATCTCGTTTCGTCATGCAAATGTAGATTTTGTTCTTACGAAATAAAATTATTTTCGAATAACGTCTGATAATTAAACCTATCAAAGTAAAATAATTATGACTTGTTTATATATTTTCCATAGATATATACACACATACACAAGCATATATGGGCTCGCACACACACACACAAACATATATATCAATAATGATAAAAGGAAAATTTTCTTTACCGACGCGTTTCGTCTTCTGATGAACTTTATGAAGACAAGTGTAAGGATTTTATTTTTGCAACGCTTATTTCTAAACAGAAGTAAAAACATTAAAATTTTTAAATTTAAGAACGCTCAAAAATATTCTCATAGTTAACTGTGCAAGTCAAGGTAAACTATAGAGTTTGCTAAGTGATGTTATTTAATTTTTAGACACACACACACACACACACACACACACACATATATGTACAGACAGACATATACTAGCAGGCTTCGTTCGCTCGCTATCGCTTCGCAAAATAAGATATATTCACTACTTGCAATCTTTGAAATAAAAATTTTAAATGAACATTTCATTCACAAATTGGCTTGTTATAGTTAAGGAATGTTTTACAAATAGATACCAGCATGTTGAAATCCAATTTAAATACAAATTCCAAAGTCTTTTCTGCACTATTTAAGACGTTATTTTTAAACAGAACTATTTTTGATATTGAAATCAAAACAATCAAAACAAACATCGAATAAAACGAAGGGCAGTTAATTAATGAAATAAACCTTTTTAAAATCAATATGAAATTAGTTAAAATTGAAGAATGATATTGTCGAGAAATAAGTAATATATAATACAGATATTGAGCTTTTAGTGTGTAAGCCCTGAGGATTTTTAATCTCAGAATTCGTGTGAGAATTGAGCCCCAATTTCGCATTTATTCATATAGATTCCATAATATAGGTTTTACTTAATTAGCTATTATGTCCCTCTAATTCTTCAAATGTTGAATGTATAACAAATTCTAATTTCTATTTCTCCATCTTTACATTATATTAACTTTAATTGTCCCCTGTTCTGTCAACCATGAAATAAAAAGAATTGTTTGTACGAATAAGAAAGATCTTTGTATATCAAATCATCTTTAAATTAAGTGGCAGCAGAAGAATTATCGTTGAACTTTTAAAAGATAAGCTTGAACATGCTTAAATACAGTGATCAATTTTGAGTTCTCTGTAGTTTGTTAGGGACTATGGCATCTACTCCTCCCTAGCTATTGTAGAATCAGAAGTCCTTCACAGGAGCTAGCTTAAATGAAAATTTTAAGCTAGCTGCAATTTTGGATACAAAAGGAAATAAGAGTTACTCCTTTTGAACTATGAAAGCAACGATAATTGCTAGTATAATATAATATATATATTTAACCTGAATCTGAGCTCAACCCAAAAAGTTCCCTGCGCGTAACTTTTCTAGGGCTTTTTGAATGAACTATGAATCATTGGAATCGGACCAATGGGAACGGAGGAGGTTGCTTGGACACACGGACAAACACACATACACTGTACTTATATATATATATACATATACACACACACACACACACACATATATATATATATATATATATACATATTATTTGATAATTGGTAGTAATTTGTAATTATTTTTGGTTTGAAAAGATGGTGTCTGACCCTGTGAAATAAATTATTACCAATGGATTATTAAGACTCCACTTTCATTATATATATATATATATATATATATATATATATATATATATATATATATATATATATATATATTGGAAAATAAATTCGACAGAATAATTAAATAAGGAAAAATTAGGAAAACGTTTATAAATTTAACATATTTCGATAACTTTTTGCAGAGAAAGTTATCGAAATATGTTAAATACAAGAGAAAGCTACAGAAAATAGACCAACATGCCAGATTTATAAACGTTATCATATATATATATATTATTTTATGGATATGTGTATGTAGAAAGAGAAAGATTCAGTGAAAGAAAGAAAGAAAAGAAAGAAAAGAAAAAAGAAAGAAAGAAAGATCAAAGAAAAAAGAATGATAAAAGAAAAAGAAAGAAAGAAAGATAAAAGAAAGATAGAAAGAAAGAAAGATAGAAAGAAAGAAAGAGAGTGAATAATAAGGGGATAATAAAGTGAATAAAAATTTAATAAATTAAGGCCAAGTTAGAATAGAATAAAATATTTGGTTATTTTTTTTAAATTATGGATGGCTTGACATTTTGGATGACATGGAAATCAGTATTCGAAATCCCGACTTTATCAATGCCTAAGCACTGAACATTGTCACCGGTAAAAAAAATCACAACTATTTTAACTACCCAACCTAACCTATATTAAGAAAACTTAGCCTCTGATGGTGCGTGCATTTCATGATATGCCAACCGTTGTTTGCTTATTCTATGCTAAATTTTGTACGAATCACTAAGTGATGACCAAACCCTCTACTCATTAGTAATGGTCAACTAGACTTGCCTCAATTAGAAATACAGCCACAATGTATTGCAATAGTAATGATTTTAGACTAAACCTTAGCTTTATGTAATAGAGAGATAAAACAGCGTGGTCAGAACTCTCATTAAAATGAAGGAATTGTTGTTTGCCCAAACTATGTTTCAGAGATAGATAGATAGATAGATAGATAGACTAGATAGATGATAGATAGATGTGACAGACTAAGTACAGATAGATAATCGTCAGCTAAAATGAATGATAGATGAGATAGATAGATAGATGTGGACAGACTAAGAATGACAGATAGATAGATAGATAGATAGATAGATAGATAGATAGTAACAGACTGAGATAGATAGTAACATGCTGAGATAAACAGTAACAGACAGATAGATAGATAGATAGATAGATAGATAGATAGATAGTAACAGGCTGAGATAAACAGTAACAGACTTAGATAGATAGATAGATAGATAGATAGATAGATAGATAGATAGGTAGGTAGATAGATAGATAGATAGATAGATAGATAGATAGATAGATAGATAATGTATTGCCCAGTGTAAAATAGTAAAACTCCGTAAAAATTTGATTATTACAACAGGGATTGAAACTATTCAAGCTAATAACCTAATGAAAATCGAATCTTTTTTTTTTTTTTACAGTGACATTAAACCTGTACAAGGCCCAGGTGCCATTCGAGTTAGACGTTTACAGAGTAGGAGGCAATGTTTAGGAGGCAATATTTATGCGAGTATATCGGAAAGTAAATGGTTAACCTCAGACGTGAACAGATTAAGATTGTAGTGATCGCTAAAACATCCTTTTGGGAATTGGTTCCACAGAACAGAATCTGCTCGAGTGGAACTTAATTCTCACCAATGAAATATAAAAATGGTTCGCTACAATGTGCGTAGCATGGAGGGTCTTAGCAGCGAAGGATAGAACTGATGGAACTAAGGAATGTAGTTCGTCTGAGAACTTTCCATGGAAATGGCGATAGAACAGTAAGAAGCTAGCGACGTTTCGTCTGGGAGATAGGGGTTTTACGATGGAGAATATTTTGTCATCCACAATGAAGTTCCTAACAGTCCAAAAATTTTAGAGATATTTTAACCATTTCCGCCATTTTTTAAAAATGGTCTACTTCATTATCTTCAAGATTGACTCAAAGTATTACCCATTGAACAAAAACTGAATGAGCAAACAATTGTCAATATATTACGAGGTCGATATTATATTATAAAATTTGTCAATTAGCTGATTGATGTTATATTCAATACGCTAACTCTAAAGTTTCGTATATTAATTTGTTTTTGTAATTCTTCAATCCACTCTTCAGGAGGTTTCAGTAAAGCAATCTGAAGACAATGAACATGAATAAACTTAAACTTATTTATATACACCCTATCGCCTATCATCCATAAGCAGTATAGGGATCATGATCGCAAAATAACAGCAAAAATGAATTAATTGATTGTAATGTTTTTGTAGCGAGTGAATATTGCATTAATAATTTTGGAGCTGATAATATTGACTTTTAGGCAAAATTCCTACTATTTAATTTGTATCTGGGAGAGGAGATGTGGATTTGTACTTTTCTCAAAGGCATTTCAGTATAAGCGAATGTAATAGGAATTCGAACTCGGCTCGCCGATGCCGCAATCCGAGCCGTTATCAATTGCACTACACATAGCCAAGCTTGCAGCACATGCTATTCCCAAGCGGTCACCCATCTAGATATTGACCAGGCTCACCGTTGCGTAAATTCGGTGATCGGTCGAGAACCAGTATTTCAACGTGATATGTCAGGAAACTAAAAACGAAAATTAGAAAAGTACGAAAAACCAACAGTCAGGGTTTATACAAAATTAATACCAATATAAGACTCGAAAGCCATTCAATCTAGAGGCTTACTGTATAAATAGTTCCGAGGAAGGAGATATGTGATACAAATGAAAGAAAGTAGAAGGTAGAAAGTGTTGATGCTAACGATAAGCAGGAAAGATAACGATTGACATTTGACTTTAGCAGGTTAATATTATAGTTAAGATTTACGCTGGGCGACATTCAAGTACGTGTTGATGCTTTATTTTTTTTCAAGTACGGATTGGGGTTTTATTTTTTTGGAGTTGGTGTTTTTTAAATAGAAGTGACCATTTTTTATATTTTCTCAGACATCAACAGTTTCTAGGTCCTGCATTGCAGGCATACGCTTTACATAAAATTTCCCACTTTCTGATCCAAAAAAGACGAAGTAAAGTTTATCTTATTTGTGCACTGCTTTCTCGTAAAAGAGGCATTTTCGCTATCGTATATTTATTGGCCTTCAATAAATAAATTTCCTTCATGGAATTAAACTCTCCCCATCTCATTTATGTTTGGGGACAGATTTAACATATCGATAGCTTTGTTTAATGTTTACAGAAGAAAGAACCAAACTTGAAGGAAACTAAATCGGCTGAAAATCATCCAGCGGGAAACTGACAGGTGAATCTTTATATTTTGGGGGTTTACATTCTTTTTATTGATATATACACTACGTTTCAAACGTTTGAAGACAGGTCCAGAATTAGAATGGGATGAACTTGGCAGAAGAGTGAAAAACAAATGAAAATAAGCTCTTAGAGTCATTGAAAAAAGAATTAATTAGCAAACTTATACTTTGAGAACATTTTACAAAATATTTGTGATGCAGTAAACAAGGCTAAAAGAGTCTATTTTGACAAGAGCAAAATTTAATCATAAAATACTTTTTTTTCGTTTAATTACAATAAAATTTTTAATAAATAACAGAAATTATGACTCACTTTTTTTTAATCATGTCAAGTAATTTTCTTTTATTTAAAGAAGAAAAATAACTAATTCTGGGCCAATTTTTAAAATTATCAGCGGTGTCCTCAAACTTTTAAACTCTAGTGTATATATATATATATATATATATATATATATATATATATATATATATATATATATATATATATATATAATCGGCCTGACGATTGCGTCTAGCATGAAACAGCCTGTCGCCTCTGAGTGTAGACTTCAATATTCACTTTTATATTTATATTTACATACGCTCTATCTCTGATATTATGCACTTTATCCCCTAAATATAGCACACCTTAAAACTATATCTCTTCATATATATATATATATATATATATATGTGTGTGTGTGTGTGTGTTTATATATATATATATATGTGTGTGGGGAAGTGTGGTTCCATTTTTTTTTTGAGTCATGCTGTAATTAGACTCGTGACGTAACCTTTGTTGAAATCCGACTCATTGTGTTGGTGTTACTTAATCATGAAATCAGTAATATCATTTTTCGACAATTCAGTGGCAAATTTTAGACCGAAGCCCACAACTGACACAACTGGAAGCTCTTAGCTTCGGTTTAAATTTGCTACAGGATTGGCAATTACGTATTTCATGTTTTAAAAACCACACAATGACTCAGATTTAATCAAATGATACATTCAGTGTCTAATTACGCCAATATATCCTATATATATATGTGTGTGTGTGTGTGTGTGTGTGTGTGTGTGTGTGTGTGTACGCGCATGTGTGCATGTGTGTGTGTCGAGGGAGTGCAAAATGTAGGGAATTATATCAGTAAATCCGTAAAATGTTTTTTTCAAAATTTTAATTAATTCACCTCAAAGTAATGATGCCACTAAGACGCAAGGAGGCTACTGCGAGTGAGAGAAAATGAGAACATTTTAGAATGATCTGGAAAGTGAATCGTAAACAGGAAACAAGAGATAAGCCTTTATACTTGAAAAAAAAAAAAACTAGAGAGGATTATGAACTGGACGAAAATGTAT